ACTGGAGAGCATTAGCTGAGTGAACTAACTCAGTCCCACAAGGATAAATATTGTATAAGACCGTTATTGTAGAATGAGTATAAGGATCCAGGAGGGGTGGGAGAGGCTGGAAGCAGAGGGATGCGGATGTGCAGGGGGAGGAGGGATTAATCATTAGGTTGTACAATTTGATGGGTGGAGGGGGTGAGGGAAATTTTAAGCATTTGTTCAAATTTGTATTCAAATTTTATAAACTAGTAGAAAAAATGTAAAAAAAGAAAAAAAGTTACAGCATCAGGATATATACACTCGGTGACATTAAGTCTTCTTGCCATCATACTAAACCAGAAAGATCAGGGGGAGAAAGTACTGTGGGATTTAGTAAGCACTGTAAGTTTTTTAATATTCAAGATAATTTTACTATGTTGTGCCCGAAGACCTGTATTGACATTTCAACCCAATGAAAAGACAAGAGTGTTGTCTAGTTTTTATTTCATAGTCACAAATTTAACTGAAATCATAGAGGGGAATAAAGAAAATATGGATAGTGCCACTGTTGTCAAATGGGGCTGACATCAGAGTTGGGAGGAAGCTAAAAGGGGATAAATAATGTCTACTGCATTGAAACAGATGAGGGAGAGAACTGTTTAAGAAGAATATATAATTAGGTATTATTGTCATGTAAAGTGTCCAGGATGAAAGCTGCATAGTGGAGTGGACTGGAGGGTGGGGAAAATTGTATAACAATTATTAGGATTTTTTCCCCTTTTCCTTTTCAAAGAGAAAAGTGAACTAGGAGGAGGGGTGGGCAGGAAGGAGAGAGTGCAACTATGAATGAATGAAAATCCAAAGTCTCTGTAAACTTCCATTAAAAGAAATTGAAAAGGTATTTGCAATGAGTAAATCATTGAGCGCGCGCGCGTACACACACACACACACACACACACACACACACACAGAGAGAGAGAGAGAGAGAACGTGGAAACCAAACAACTGTAGCAAGAGCACAAAGACTTTAAAGGTCCTGCAAGCATACTGGGGTTAACAGTGTGATCTCTGGAGCTACAGAAGGAATGATCTGGTGATTAAGAGAAAACATGAAATACAGATCATAAAATAGAGTTGTCCACGGTCAGAAATGGTGATCTTCTTTCTGGTCTCGACATTCCTGGACCTGACGCGCTCCATGGTTTCCACAATGTTCATGCCTTCTTTCACCTTATGGAAGACTGTATGTTCACCATCCAATCATTCAGTCTTAGCAGTACAGATAAAAACCTGGGAACCATTGGTATTGGGTCCAGCATTTGCCACGGACAGGATGCCAGGACCTGTGTGCTTCTGGATGAAGTTCTCATTATCAAACAACTCCCCGTAGATGGACTTGCCACCAGTATCATTAAGGTATGCGAAGTCTTCACCCTGGCACATAAACCCAGGAATGATTCTGGGAAAGCATGAAACCTTGTAACCAAATCTTTTCTCCCCAGTACTCAGAGCACAGAAATTTTCTGCTGTCTTTGGACTTTATCTGCAAACAGCTCAAAGGAAACACAAAAGTTTCGCCATCAGTGGTGATGTCAAAGTACACAATTGGGATTGACCATGGCTGGGGCGAGCTGAGCAAACAAATATACTGGTGTGACAGTGACGTCTGCAAAGCTGATTACTTTTTTCTTAAAAGAGAGCCTCATAAACAAGGCCAAAGACCAAATTCTCTGGGTAAAGTTAATGTAAACACTACAATATATTCTTGATCCTCCCAAAGGTACGCAGTTCAAGACCACCAGCTGCTCCATGGGAAAAGGATAGACGGACTCTTCCCGGCACTTAACTGCCTCTGAAAATCCTCTGGTGGGTCAGGTATGGGTTGGTTCTGATTCTACAGTCCACAGCAACAACTCTGCCTAAGGAAGCTCTGGTGGCCTAGTGATAAGGAGTTGAGCTTCTAACCCAAAGGCAGGTGGTTCAAATCCATCAGATGCTCCTTTGAAGAAAGACAAATTGTCTGCTCCATACAATATCGAGCCTCCGAAAACCAATTGAAGGGTCAGCTATGAGCTGGGTCCAATTCGATGGTGCTAGTGGTTGTGTACCATCAAGTTGGAACCGACCCATCGCTGACCCTCTGGCAGGTTTTCAGAGGCAGTTAATCGGACAGGAGGAGACTGTCCATCCTTCTTCAGCAGAGCTGAAGAAGCTGGTGGCCTTGAACTGTGTGTTTTTGGGATTGCAGCACAATTTCTCACCACTGGGCCACCAGAGCTCCCTAACTCAACAGTCTATAACAAACGACATCTTTGTTCAGATTTTCAAGTTAGCATCCAGGTTTGTTTCTCCACATACTCACCTTCTTCAACTGATACTCTTCCATTGCTTTCACTGACTTTTAAAAAGTTCTGTGCTAATCAGTCATGGAATCGAATGAAGAGATAACTGTGTAGAGGCATTCGTAGTGGTCCAGCCTCTAGCTGACTGTCACCTGCTGTCCTACAACTCTCGGTAAGAGAACTGTTTGCCTTTAGACCAAGAACGTTTGGGAAGCACCAGAGTCTGCATGTGGCATGTGCCCAGGGCGACAGAGAGATGCGTGCTCTAAGAACTGAAGTTCTCACCAGATTGTCAAAACCAAAAACACTTGTCAGCAGAGCCTGTGGTGGCTCCACTTGTGCAAAGTGTGCCCGTGACAGGATGAAGCTTTCCTTATTGAAGAGCAGAACATCCTTGGGAAGGCACAAACAAGTACAAAGAAAGCTAAATAAGAAATGACGACGCTTTAAGTAATGTTGTTATGGTTGAGTATTATAAAGTTGGTTTACTGGCCCTAATATGTGGCTGCGAAAATCAAGTTTGGCGTCTTAAACCCACTAGACTTTGAGAGGGAGTTGGTTTCTGTAAAAATTTAGTCCTAATTATGGTACACGGCTATTATTATAAAAAGCTAAAGAAAGGCATACACAGAGATAAAAGCCTTCGCAGTTAACAGGGATAGGAAGGAAGGTAAAGGGGAGTTAAATTTAATAAGAGGGCTGATTAGACATTCTAATTAATTAATGTTATAAAACAAAATGTCTATGAATGTATGAAAACCCAATATGGTTTGTAAGCCTTCACTCAAATGAAAAATAATTTAAAAATATTTAGTCTCAGAAACCCTATTGGGCAGTTGTACTCTGTACAATGGAGTCATTACGAATCATTGTGAATAGAATTTGTGGCAGGCTTTTCCTTTTTGTGTGCTTGTTTTAAAAACGCAATGCAACTTGATTCACCTTCCCTTCTTGAGTGTCTCAGAATTGCCCTTCATCGTTTTCCCCAAAACCTCACTCATTTTGAAAGGGGGGAGTGGTGGTGTAGATGTGTCGCAAAGTCTTTCACCCAGAAGTTGGATCTCTTCTTTACATTTGGATTCCGTGTGAATTATTTTTGTGCAGAACCGTACAGTCTTTTAAAATAAGCTGTATATATATATTTTTTTCTATCATGTAATGTGGCACGGGCAAAACCACCTTCTCAGGACACTTGTAGCAGTTTCTCTGGTGCCCTTTGCAATGGTCTCAATCTCTCTTTGTGCGAAGCCAGATTTCATATTTTTATAATAAACCAAAAGCTATTTCAGGATATTTTTTATTTTTTTAAATGTTATTATTTGTGTGTGTGTGTGTGTGTGTGTGTGTGTGTGTGTGTACCATCAAATCAGATCTGACTGGTACAGGAGGAGATTGTCCCTCCTTCCCCGGCAGATTATAGTTACAGCTCCTTACCACTAGGCCACCAGAGCTCCCGCTATTTCAGGATATGAGGGAGACGTGGATACAAGCTGGCATTCACCCTGAAGCACTAAGCAAACCTTAAATGTTTACAAGGAAAGGCACTAAGGCAAATACACGGTTCTTGTATTTTCTAACCCCTTCCTCCTGAGGAAGGTTTTCAATAGAAAGAGAGGGCTTAGCTTCATTTGCATTGAATTCTCTTTATGATTTGCTTCCTATGGTTCTCAGTACAGACAGCCATGGGTTGTGGCCCTTCAGTCGTTGGAACTGCTGGCCCCCTGTTTTTTAAGTTGCTTTATCTCCTTGTTTTATCTCATCATTAATTATTAATATACTTTACCCTTGGTCTGCAACATCTCTTAGTAAATATGTTGTTGTTGTTATATGCCCTAAAGTTGGTACAGACTCCTCTCTCATCCTCCAGCAGTTTCAAATCGCTGGGAAGGAGGCTACCCATCCTTCTCCCATGGAGTGGCGGGTGTATTAGAACCACCTGCCTTTGAGTTGGCAGCACAGCTTCTTACCCAGTAAGCCACAGAGCTCCCTAATAGTGAATCCCTTTTATTACCAATGCTTTAGCTGTGCCCTTGTAAATACCCCACCTAGGTTGTGTGGGGTTTTTGTTGTATTTTTTTAATTAATTCAGGTTTGGCCACGATTTCTGCAAACAGTTTCAAAGCGAGAATAGTAAAAGGGCTCTGTAATAAAAAAAACCAAACCCAACAAACCAACAAAAAAACCAAATAAAACAACAACCAAACCCAAAACAAAAACTTGTGTGTGTGTGTGTGTGTGTGTACCGTCAAATCTGATCTGACTGGTACAGGAGGAGATTGTTCCTCCTTCTCCAGCAGAGCATCTGGTGGATTTGAACCAACAAAAACTTTTTTTTTAAAGGGCTTTGTCCACCAATTGCTCTGCTGGAGAAGGAAGGACAATCTCCTCCTGTACCAATCATCTGATTTGACGGTACACTCACTCACACACACATATAATAAAGTTTTTTTAAAAAGACAAACAAAAAAAGGGGGGCTTTGTAAAGGTGGCCTAGTGGCAAGAAGCTGCACTACAATCCCGAAGGCACGCAGTTCGAATCCACCAGCTGCTCCGTGGGAGAAGGATGGACAATCTCCTGCGCGATTAACTGCCTCTGAAAATCCCACAGGAAGGGTCGGCTATCAGGACCCTCAACAGGATTTTCCTCCATCGTACTCTGGCCGTATACGGAGAAGTTAAAGAAAAAAACCCTTAAACTGTATTGAAAAGTATGCAAAGTAGTTGTTTTTCGAGCGGGCAGGGCGCGCGCGGTGGTCGCCGGGAGGTGGGCGGCCGCTCGGCACTAACTGCGACGCAGCGCGTGTCTATTGCGTCATAAGGAGACGCCGGTCGCCGGGGAGACGCCAACCGACGTCGGCTGGGCGTGGCTTCAGTTGGGCACGAGGGCCCGTCCGCCATTGAGAAAGAGCAGTTAGGTCGACGCTCTAGAAAGGTGAGGTTGGGGTTCCTCAGCCTGTTCAGAGGGGGGTTTCTTGCGTGTTTGGGGGTTCGGGGAGAGCGCACTGGGGGCGCTTTGGGGTTTTTGTGTTGGGAGCGGGTCAGGTCCTCGCGGGCGGAAGGCGTGGGTGTCCACCATGGAGTCCCTATTTTGGGGGTTTTGTTGGGGTTACTTCCTTCAAGGGGAATGCCAAGGGGCTTCGTGTTGGGAGTTTTGGAGGCCAGTCTTCGAGGGGCGCTTTGGGGTGTCTCCGCTTCTTGAAGCTCATTGTGGGGGTGGGGCAGCGCCAGGAGTTAATACCGTCTCTGTCCCGTTTATATTTTTTTGATTGAGATTTTAATGAAAGTGTATACAGAACTTGGGATTCCAACCATTAATTGTTGCACATTTTCCTCCCTGTCCCCCCTCCCCTCTTAGGTTGCTTTTTTCTTGGAGAAAGAAGTTCTTTTATTGTTATTCAATCCCACCCACCACCACCCCCCTTTACTATGCAGCTCTTACTTTGGACTCTTGTCGTGCCAGTAATGCTTAATCATATATTCACTTTACACAGTTCTCTCCTTCGTCTCTTTGAACGCATTGTACATTATTTACCCTCTCGTTCTTTGTTTCCCCCAACTCTCATATTTTATAACAGTGGCACCATGCAGTATTTGTCCTTTTGTGACTGAGATACTTCACTCAGGATAATGTCCTCCAGGGACATCCGTTTTTGCATAAGATTTTGTGAGTTTCTTGTGTGGTTTTTTTTTTTTTTATCATGTACAAGGTCTTTTTTTTTTACTGTTTCTATATTTCTTTTTTTTAAATTTATTCTAAATTTCAATGAAAATTTATAGAGACTTTGGGTTACCATTCATTCATTGTTGCACTTTTCTCCCCTCCCAACCCTCCCCCCTAGTACACTACCCTCTTGGAAAAGTGAAACAAAAATTCTTTCATTGTTTTACAATCCTTCCCCCCAGATCCACTCCACTGTACAGTCTTCGTTCTGGACTCCTGTCATCACAAAAATACCTAAACACATATCTCTTTTATATAGTTTTCTCTCTTATCTGTTTCAATGCAGTATACATTATTGAACCCATCTTTCTCATTCTCCCCCCAACCCCGAAGTCAGTCCTGTTTTACAACAGTGGCACCATGCAGTATTTGTCCTTTTGTGACTGAGATACTTCACTCATCATAATGTCCTCCAGGGTCACCCATTTTAAGTAATATTGCATGAGTTCCTTGTTTT